GTTTTTGACGTCCAACGTCCATTTCGTGCGAAAAAGTTGCGGCGGACTAACTAAAATCGCAATTTTACCGCAGTTTTTGACGTCCAACATCCGTTTCGTGCGAAAGGGTTGCAGGGGGCACCTCAAAATCGCAAATTTTACATCAGTTTTTGACGTTCAACATCCATTTCGCGCGAAAGGGTTGCGGCGGACTAACTAAAATCGCAATTTTACCGCAGTTTTTGATGTTCAACGTCCATTTCATGCGAAAGGGTTGCGGCGGACACTTCAAAATTGCAATTTTAGCCAGGTTTTGGACGTCCGATGTGCACGAAAATGCTGCTTCTGTCACGTTTCGTGGCGCTCCGGCGGCACCGCCCCCGCCTTCAGAGAGAGATAGAAAGAAGAGCGAGAGAAAGAAAGGAAGAGAGAGAGAAGATCCGCAGATGTGAAGGTGTGAAGATGTAGATCAGCAGATGTGAAGGTGTGAAGATGTAGATCTGCAGATGTGAAGGTGTGAAGATGTAGATCAGCAGATGTGAAGGTGTGAAGATGTAGATCTGCAGATGTGAAGGTGTGAAGATGTAGATCAGCAGATGTGCAGGTGTGAAGATGTAGATCAGCAGATGTGAGGGTGTGAAGATTTAGATCTGCAGATGTGAAGGTGTGAAGATGTAGATCTGCAGATGTGAAGGTGTGAAGATGTAGATCTGCAGATGTGAGGGTGTGACGATTTAGATCTGCAGATGTGAAGGTGTGAAGATGTAGATCTGCAGATGTGAAGGTGTGGCGATGTAGATCTGCAGATGTGAAGGTGTGAAGACGTAGATCTGCAGATGTATTACAACGGCTGCTTTTTTACGACGATCCCTTCGCAGGCTCTCTCGGGAAAAATGGATGGTGGGGGCGAGTCAAAGAGAATCACCCAGACACATCCACAGAGGCGAGAGTCAACAGGGAGCCACCTGGCCAGCGAAGAGACCAGCTGCGAAACAGGAAATAGGAAAAAGGGAATCAAGGGCAGGAACAATGCCGGTTCACGGGGTTATTCCAGAGAGAGCGTCCTCTGCTCCTCGCAAGACAGATCGAGGAAAAGCGCTTGTGCGTGTACAAGGTTTTGTGTGTAGAAGCGTCTGCGCGGGATTTTCAAAAGCGTTTGTGTGTAAAGGCTTTTGTACAGACAAGGCCTCCCCTAACAGTATAAGCAATTTCGGGGAAAATCGAAACGCAGAACCGCATGCACACACCGAAACCTTTGGCACAAAGAAGCTTGTACACGAAAAAGTTTTTACCCACAGAAGCTTTGACATAGACGTGCCTGTCTACACAGGTGCAGATGCGTTTACACAGAGAAAGCTTGTACGCACAGACGCGTTTCCACACAGGCGATTTTTGTGGATGCTTCTACGCACGTTTCTTGCGAAAAAAAATTGCCTACACGCAAAAGCTCTTACAGTTCGAAGGCTTTGTGCTTTTACACACAGAAGTTTTTACACACAACAGCTTTTGCACATGGGCGACTTGACGCACAAGAGTTTTATTCACGGGTGCCTTGACATGACAACAAGACACTTTTGTACACAAGAGCTTTTTCACAGGCATGCTTTCACACACAAGAAGGTTTCTGCGCGCAAATGCTTTCACTTCGCAAAAGAAAACCGCGGTTGCACCTCAGCTTCTGGCGATCGACGCGCGTGCGAAGGGTTCTTCGGGCACAAGCTCCGCACGCACTAATCGCAATTCAGCACTAATTTTTTGATGATCGACGTGCGTTTTTCGTGCTGGAACATTTTGCGCGGGAAAGGCTCGCCCAGCGCAAACCAAGCCGCAATTCAGTTTTTGATTATTGTCACCGAGCACCGGCCGAAGCGCCAGGTTTACCACAGTTTTTGACGAGGGGCGCGCTTTCACTCAGCACAGACGGAAAATCTTAGCTTTAGTTCGGTTTTTGGCCATGGCCCCGCCTTCGTGCGAGAGGGATACGTTTCATAAGCGTCCATCTGCACTGCGTTCCTGCCTTAGTAGAAATTTACAGAAGAATCCATATGCGCAAGCGTTGCCTAGAAGCCCTATATGACACGTGAATTTACGCACCTGCACCTCTACCCCTGCATCCTTACACCTGCATCTGTACGGGTGCATATGGACACCTGCGTCTCTACGCATGCATATATGAAATTGTAGGTGCCATGTGCAACTGCAGTTTCAACCTGCTGATTTAAAGTTTTAGGTGTCTTTCCCAGAGCAGCCATAAACATCCATAAACCAGTATGTAAGACATTCATCAAGTTGCAAATGCATTGATGTTGCTGTTGATGGTGATGACGACGACGACGACGACGACGATGACGACGACGACAATGATGATGATGGTGCTGGTTTTGATGATGGTGGCAATGATTAAAAGATTGTTGATGATGATGGTTGATGACTGAGTTCCGATGATTGATGATTGATGATGATGATGATGATGATGATGATGATGATGATGATGCTGATGATGGTGATGATGATGATGATGATGATGCCGATGATGATGCTGATGCTGATGATGATGATGGTGATGATGATGATGATGATGATGCTGATGCTGATGATGACGATGACAATATGTATGGTTTTTATTGTGTTTTGGCAATGTATATTGGCAGCCGCTCTTCAGAAGGAATTCTTGGCGGTCTCCTTCAGGCAAACACCTGTACAAAGGAACATATATTGTGATGATTGCGGGTTCTCGTTCAAATTGATTACATGCGTGCAAAACTTGCTCTGTGACATCTAAGCAAATTTCGTGTGGATTTGAGTGCGTGCAATTTGCTCTTCAATATCAAGGCACTGCCATACTCATATGTTCTCATGCTCTTCAATACTCCGGTTCATATGTGATTACCCATTGCTGCGCGCATGCATTTTCGTGGCTTTGAAGTCTTGCAGGCACACGCGTCGTCAAATCTCCAACAAGCATGCGGACCCAACCATACATGAAAGCTCTGAAAATTTATACCTTCTCGGGCTTTACATTTTGGGACTCGTCAATATATGCACAGTTTTGGTCATGCCATTATAGGTAGTGCGCAAGTTGCGGTTGGAATTACTATATACCAGTAGTACCGCACAAGGCGGTGGCGGAAGTTTCAGAAATAGGAAACCTATAGGAGAGGTTGGTTGTTGTGAATCACGGATGGCAGAGCGAATCCACTGATGGACCGACAGGTGGTTGAGGTCTCCTCTCTGTCTCTCTCTTTCTGTCTCTTTCTCTGACTATCTACCTACCTACCCACCTATCTATCTATGTATCCATCTATCTATGTATCCATCTATCCACCTATCTACCTATCTATCTACCTACCTACCTATCTATCTATCAATCTATCTATTTATCTATCTATCTATCTATCTGTCTATTTATCTACCCATTGATCTATCTATCAATCTATCTATCGATCTAGCTGTCTATCTATCCATCTATCTATCTATCTGGCTAGCTATCTATCTCATCTGTCTATCAAACTATGTATCTATCTATCTATCTATCGATCTATCTATCTATCTACCTGTCTACCTATCTATCTCTCTCTCTGTCTGTCTGTCTATCTATCCATCTACCTGTCTATCTGCAAGCTTGAAAACGAAGCTATTCTGCGAGACGTCCTCAGGTCTTGAACTTGACAACATCAAAAACGAAGCAATGCTGCGAGACTTCCTCAATATTTCAACTTGACAACATCAAAAACGAAGCAATTCTGCGAGACTTCCTCAATATTTCAACTTGACAACATCAAAAACGAAGCAATTCTGCGAGACTTCCTCAAGATTTGAACTTGAAAACGTCAAAAACGAAGCAATTCTGCGAGACTTCCTCAATTTTTGAACTTAGTAACGTCAAAAACGAAGCAATTCTGCAAGACTTCCTCTTTTTTCGAACTTGACAACATCAAAAACGAAGCAATTCTGCGAGACCTCCTTCAAACATGGAAAGTTGTGTGCAGCGCTGACGGCCTCGTGCCAATGCGTTTTGCGATTTTTCCAGTCCACCTGTCTAATGCGCCTGCCACGAAAAAGTGATGCCAGGTCATACGAAGTGCTGCACCTGTCACGCAAAATTATCTCAGCAAAACCTGAAGATCTGAGGCTCCAAAATGCAACCCCTCTCAGGAAACCAGCACCCGGACCTCCTAACAGCTCTGATGAACATGTCTCTTGTACTGCGCCTGCCACGGAAAATGCATCTTTGCAGATCATGATCCTCTTCAAATGTCCCACGCCTGCCATCGTTTTTGAAAATGCTGCAAAACCCTCACGTTTTGCTCACTTCTGACAAGGTGCACAATCCCTTGCGCCTGCCACGCAAAACGACATCTGAACATCCAAAAGTGGCGCGAACATGTTGCGCTTTGTACATTTTGACTTCGCGTCGCGCCACAACGGCGTGCACTTTTTCGACATCTCAACTTCCAAAAGTGGTCCGAAGGTGAGGTGCTTTTAGCTCTTTCACTTGCACATGTGCTTCGCGCCACAACGGCGTGCACTTTTTCGACATCGCAACTTCCAAAAGTGGTCCGGAGCTGGTGTGCTTTGCACATTTTGACTTCGAAATGTGCTTCGCGCCACAACGGCGTGCACTTTTTCGGCATCGCAACTTCCAAAAGTGGTCCGGAGCTGGTGTGCTTTGTACATTTTGGCTTCGAAATATGCTTCGCGCCACAACGGCGTGCACTTTTTCGACATCTCATCTGGCCAGATGGCTCCGCACCCGCTGCTTTAGCGAGCCTACTTTTCGACCCTCCGGAGCCACAAATCATTGGAAAAACATAGTGTTTCGCGACTTTCCTACCTTTTCGCGCACCTGCATCTTCTTTCTTATGACTCTCTCTCTTCTCTGATTTTCTCTATTCTCTGCTCTCTGACTCTGCCCATCTCTGCTTTTTTTCATCAGTCCATATTGTCGGAAGTTTGACTTCTAAACTTCCTTCGATTATTCATGTTGTGCCCAGAAGCAGCTGGCTTGATGTCGCTTGCAGGCTGGCTTTTGCAGCAGACTTTGCTCTGAGCAGTGCGTCGCTGGTTTGAAAGTTGGCACACTTGTGCAATCAAAACGACCCGCGACCTGACAAATGTGTTGATGGTTGGAAGCACAGCTGCTTCACTGTTGAGGTTCCTTTGTTCGAGTTTTTGCCTTTCAGTTGAAAAGTTTGCGCCAAAGGCCAAGCATCCCAACAGGCTCTTTTGTGCTTGGAGAGCACCTTGTTTGCAGCGAGTAGACCACGGCAAGCAGATTCTCAACATGTCTCCCGTCGTAGCTTTTGATACTTCCCATGTTCTCAGGCACAATCTACTGTTCATGAGCATCACAATCGCTTGGACGGCTTACTCCTAAGTTACAAGGCAGCCAGACAGAAAGCTTGCGACGGACAGAAAAGTGCCCAAACAAGAGGTGTCAATTTATTTCTTGTTTGGGATGCCTTTGCACCCTGTCTGGAGGGAGTCGTGCAGTACGACGATCCAAAGAAGCCAGTGTTCCGCGTCATGAACAAAGTTGCGACAAAGAACAAGTTCAGGCCAGATCGAGAAACATGACCGCCGAAACGGTTCCCGCTTGTCATGTAGCCTTGACAGATAGAATCCTATTATTCCACATCTTGGTGGCGTTGTGCCTCAACATCGCGACTTGGCATGTGTCGTTGCACATTCATTTTGGCGACTGTCTTTACCTTTGGCCAGGTCTGAAAGGATGATGTGGGATTCTGTGCGGGGCAAGTACCACTTTGTTGACAGGGACAGCATGCTTTGTCGAAGCAACATGGGTGTACTTTTGCCGTTTGTTTTCTCGTCGGTTTCCAGGTGTTACTTGAATCAGAATCGGCATTCGCTTTCTTTTGTTCTTCGCAAGACAAGACCATGAATCAAGAAACGCATTCATTGAGGAGCCAATACACCCCAGCTTTGGAATCAGACCAGACCGTGATGAGTCAAACTACGCACCTGATGAAGAAACGCATGGTTCCCAGCCTTTTCACTGATGCAAGTTCTCCCCACGACAGCATAACAGCACCTATTTATTCTCTATACAGTGAACGTGGTTGGCTACGCCTTCTTTGCAAGGTATGATTCTGACAGTGACCTTGAAGCATCTTCCGCAGTGCGGCTGGCATGATTCAGCCACCTTCAGGCATTTTCCATGCCTGCTGCACATTGCATGCAGTGCCAATCCAGGATGAAGATTCTGATGGGGACGGTCTTGCTTAGGAAGCCCAAAGCGAACTCCTGGGAAATATTGTCAAATTATGCGGCTTAAAGCTATGAAAGTATGATGCCAGTACTACTACGCAAGGCGGGGGTGGCGCCTTTACACACAGAAGCTTTTACATACACACACACACACAAGCTTTTACACAGAGAAGCCTTTCCACAGAGCAGTTTTTACACACACAGCCTTGTAAACACAGAAGCATTTACACAAAGAAGCTTGTACGCAGAGAGTTTTTGCACCGGAGACCATTTTTTTTGCACAGGCGCCTTTACGCATGGACGCTTGTACACACAGAGACAGATGTTTTTACACAGATTTTTTTACATGAAGACGCTTGTGCAAAAAGAAGCATTGCCACAAAGAAGCTTTTACACAGAGGAGCTTTTACACAGCCAAGCTTTTACCACAGGCTTTTGCAAAGAAGGTTTTGTAGAGATAAGTCTTGACACAAAGAAGGTCTTTGAACAGAACAATTTTTATACAGAAGCTTCTACTCACAGACGCCTTTATACACAGAAGCTTTTACACCCAGAAGCTTTTACACATACAAATTTTTACACAGAGAAACATTTTTACAGAGCAATTTTACATTAATTTTGAACGTTTATGCGAAGGGGTTGCGTTAGGCATTGCAAATTTATTTTATATAAAGAAATTATATTTAAATATATTATTTTATTTTTTTTATTTAGATATATTTTACGAAAGGTAGCTCCAGTGGGGCTACTTTGAGTTTTGCTTTACGAAGTAAAGGGGAGGGCGGCTAGCCCCGGTACTTGATTATTTAGGAAATTATTAGTTATTTTAATACCCCGCCCCCAAACCCCGTGGCTTGGACTGTTCCGTTCTATATGATGGCTACGCTTGTGAAGAAATAGAGCAATTTATTAATGGAATATGTATGTATAAGATTACATTATCTTATTTTTTATTATGTTATATAAATTATATAACAAACCTTATAATATAACATACATATTTATGCATAATTACATATTAACTAAATGCATATATATATAAATATAGACATAAAAAAAACCATATAGATATACATTTATATATATGCATACGTATACAGAGAAGTTCGCGGGGTTGGTTGGCGAGGTTTGCGGGATTTGAATTAAAGGTTAATAATTTAGCAATTAAATCCGATTTTATGTGATCTAAAAATTTATTTTGGGGCTGGGTTTTGAACCCTAACGCGGACATATCGGTGATGGGGTTTATATTGGGGGGTATATTAGGAATTTGTTGGGTTATATTGGGAATGGAAAGCAATCTTAACTAAAGCATGTTGGATTGGGTTCCATTTTGGGTCTATATTACGGCTACCTTGAGGTTGTTTATTGGGCCAATTTGGGAGCAAATTGCATTATTAGAAAGCTTTTGGTAACAACATTGTTCTTGTGTTATTGTCTTTGGGTTACTTAGGCTTGCTATTCTTGCCCGCAGGACGAAAGCCAAGCTATTTCTAATTTAAGATAATACAGTAAATCCTGACAATATTGACATACGCGTGGCATTGTCCATGGTCAACGGTCAACGTCAGGATTCTTTATTTTTTGGCATTGCTAAACTGCTCCCCGAGGCAAACATAGATGGTTCGCCCTGGACCACCCTTACTGAAATAGTTTCCTGAATTTGACTATCGTTTATATATCTTCATATTATTGTTGCTGAAATTAGTTTCCTCATAGCGCCTCTAAGTTTTTCCAAACGTGTTTTTAATTTGGTTGAATCTAAGCGTTGTTGAACTAGTTCATAATGGTGACATTATCTGACCCGGAAACATCCAAATTGTAACCATTTTTTTGATTGGGTTCGCGCGCAAAATTGGCATCTATTTTTACGCGCGAACTCCACCCAAAAATACCAAGAAAAGGATTGAGTTTGGGGGTGCGCGCGCGCGAACATGTAGTTGACGTTTTATTTCAAAAGAAATCTTTATAACAGTTTTCTCGTCATGCCTCAAAAAGTAATTTCAGAACTTTAGGTCGTTATTTGTTGATGTGTGTTTTTTAAATTATTTCCAGCGCCACTGGCATCAAGTGACCTCACACTTAAGGTGTTTCAGAATGAGAAGGGACCTAGCCAAATCACCTTTGGATTTCAATGTGCATAGCAATTACTCCCAATCCCAAACAAAACAGAACCAGCAAGTGACCTGCAACATGTTTTTTCATGCATCCAAAACTGGTTTCGGGTCACTTGCTCTAGACAGCTGATTTTCAGAATGCGGAATGGATTATTGTATCCGATGGGTTTAAAGTGGGGCCGGGGGGTCTTACAACTAAGGTTGTTTAAATCTGATATTGTTTCCACAGCTTTCCACACAAGCACTTCCGTTCAAAATTTATGGAGCGCTCATTGATGTACGCGGGCCGGCAACTCGGTTGATGCTGCTAGGGTTTAGGGTTTAGGGTTTAGGGTACGATAGGGTTGTAGGCTTTAGAGCCGCGTTGCGTATATGGCTACATGTTTACATCCCACCCGCCCAAGGTACCCTATCCATTGTGTGATATACACCCCTTCTTTTAACCCTTGGTGTTGTAGCTTTCTCCTCTTTGAGCGCGCTCCCTTTTCAGCAGTGCCATACACCTTATTATTTATTGAGCTGCTGCGTACTTCCCACCATTTGTTTTTGCGAAACAACAAAGCCCAGTGGGGAAAACCTTTCCCATAAGCTTCTAACCTTCCGGGCAGCCCCAAAAAGGCCCAAGATCAGGATTTGGCGCTTGCCCCTTTAAAACAAGCATTTTTTTGTATTGAAATTAGCTCCGTTTTGGTGCCATGAACTTTTGGATTTTTATGCTTTCCTTTTCTCATATCTAGAGTTAGCAGCTGAAACCAATGGTTTTGACCCCAAACCCTTCCAACATGAGATATTTAGCAGCTAAAACCCAAGATTTTGACCCTAAACCCTTGAAAAATGCAGGTTTTGGACCCTGAACCCTTCCAGAATGATGGATTTAGCAGCTAAAACCAAGGGTTTTGACCCTAAACCCTTGAAAAATGCAGGTTTTGGACATACTTTTGACTGAAAATGACCCTAAACCCTCTTGAGGTACCTTTCAGCATGCTGAGGTTTAGGACCAAAATGGCCATTAAGGTTTAAATACATGCGATATATTAATTTAGGGTTTAGGGTTTAGGGGTTTAGGGCATACCATTGTGCCACGGCTGCCTCCCCCCGAGTCATTTGGCGAAGGGGGGAGGCGCCGTTCTTGTGACGGGAGCCCACCCCAAACCACCCAAACTTGCACCTTTCACGGGTTTAGGTTTTCACCCCCCCAAACCCCCCTCTCTAGGGGGACTTTCTTTTTTCGACGGCCTCCTTCCAGGTGGTGACAAAAACCAGCTTGAGTCCAAACCTTCGATTTGCGCTTGGGCTACCCCTGTCTGGGGGCGCAGGCAGCTTGGCACAGAACCCCTTACAAAATCCGGCTTGAAACCAAACCGTAGTTAGAGAGCCTTCTGGGAGCCTTCTGGGAGCGTTCTGGGAGCCTGTGGGAGCTCCGGCGCCTACGACGCCCATCGGTGCTGACACACCGGAGGTGAGAGAACGATGGGTCGAGGCGAGACAGTGTCAGCCACGTGCTTGTCACATATCCTTGTTTGCCTGTGTGGCATTCTATACTCTGATTCTTGGAATCATGCTTGACAGTGATCGTGTATCAAATGAGTTCATTTACATGTTTGTATTGAGCACAACAGCTTTTTTGCTGATCTATTTCGTGCAAGCCCTTTTGGGCTCTTCCAAGTCTTGGCGTCTTGGACTCCTGAGACGCCGTATCCGGACTATGTATATCCATATTCTGCCATGTCGTTTTGTGCAAAGGCAGCGCTATAGAAACATCAGAAAGTGCACCAATAGACAATTGAAATGCAACCTCCGAGTGTGCCAAGCCACCTTGTTTGGCATCATGTTGTGCAGTTTGGTGTCTTTTTCTACTCAGCAGTTTGGCACCATGTTGGCATCGCACGTTTCTTATCGAGATTCGATTTTCCAGACACCATACCGTTGGGTCAGTAAGATGGACTCAGCAAGGGCTCATATTTCACGGAGAAGTCGCAATCGCCTGATGCATTACCTTAACGGTAATGGGGGTGGCAAATCTAAAGGAAAAGGTCGAGGAAAGACCGCTGGTCCAACAGCTGCTCCGCACGAGCAACAAACCCATGATGTACCTTCAACTACTGCTGCAGACCCTGATGCTGATCTTAGGCAACAAGTTCAGATGGTTGTACCGGATGCTGCCCGATTGAGGGCGCAGACAACACTTTTGGATGCTGAATGGAGTGTCCCAGTGGTGCCATGGCAGGCGTTAGCCAAGGACAATGCCATAGCTGTGGTTCCAAAATCATTCCTGCCTGAGGTCATAAAGAAGGTTGGATTTAGTGGAAAGAGCATTGCTGCGGTGCTCACCCAAGATCCAGATTCATTGGGGCTGATCGGATATGACAGAAAATTTCTTCGTGTTGGCCTCAGCACAATGGGGCCAGGAGGTGAGCGTGTCATCACAAGCGCCAAGTGCTATGTGGTTTAGTTGGGCTGGGGGCCCGCGGTAGAGCAGATTATGGAAGGAGAAGAAGTACCTATGCTGTTCACAATGTGCCGTTTTCAATGCAAATTCCCAACTGTGCTGGGATGGCCGGAAGGTCCTCTTCCGGCAGCTCTTATCATGACAGAAATAGAGCGCCACATTCCTGCAGATGCTGTGGCGGAGATTCAGCCTCGCCACAACGACACGGCCACGTGTCTCGTGCATTCGGAATTTACTAACATTCTGTTGCGAGCGAGTGGGAAAAACTCTGTTTTCTATAAAGAAAGCTCTCCTGTTCAGGAATATATGCTTCTCTGGCTGGCAGAGGGCACGACTCTTCAAGATGCAGTCAAGCTTGCAGACCACGATGACGTATTTGGAGTAGTACGTAAAGGAAATGCTGCTGCTCCCAAGTACGCCTTGCGCTTCCGTGACACCGAGCACCTGAAACAATTTGCTGCTGACCATTCCATCTTGGATTTGTCCAACCTGGGAGGTTGGA